CACACAGGATTCAGTCAAGCAATTGGAAGAGCATCTCTCAAAGTCAGGAAAGAGGCAATAGGTAGTTACTTTCTTTATTTGTTTCTCATTTCCTAGTTAGCTAATGCACAGGACGCTGCTTCCCCACCTCACCTCTCTTTGCTTTCACACTGGGCACGATAAATATGACCCCTACAACTAACAGCTTTTGGCAGCAGCATGGCACAAACTTTTATTGGATTGCAAAATCTTACTGGCTTGCCTGTGGCACCTTCCAGTGAACGGTAGCAGTCCCCTGACAAGCACTACTGCCAGTGGACAGCCTTTATGTGTCTCCTCTGCCTCCAGAGCTGCAGACAGTGGGTAGGAGTGTGCTGATGAGACAGATATTAGGTTGACCAGTAATAATACTGCGAATATCAAGAAGTTCCTTTAACATTGATTAATAACAACATGATGATAGCACACTGGATCACCGGTTGTTTTGTGTTATTAGATCATCCAATTCCAGCAGGTGAGAGAAGCCAGGATGAAAACAATCAGGGAAAACAAATAAATACACTGTATTCTTGAAAAGCAGTGGACTAAAATCTCAGTTTTAATACTCCTGTATCTAATTGCTAATGAGGACCCTCACCAGAGTTGGTGGGTTAAGGGACTGAAAAATACTTGAATGCTTTAGAAAGCCCCCTGTGTCGGAAGTATGGCAGATCAGACAGTCTAAAGACACACATTGTCTCAGAGTATGAGGGAGACTTTGTGAAAGACACACAAAAAAACCCAGGTCTTCCCATTCCAAGAGAGTACAAAGTCTGGTGTTTCTGTGAAGGGCTCTCGTGTTTACCAAATACGTTGATTGAGAAAGTCTGTGTGGTCTTTTATGACCAACATTTTGATTCTGTGGTGAAAGAGAAGTGCAAGGACTGGCACTGAAGCACCTGTCTCAGTACCAGGGGACTCTCCTGCAGTCTGTGGGAGACATGCAGCTCTGCTGTCCATCACCCATCAGTGCTGGCCCTCCTTTTCACCAGGGCTTCCTAACAGGCCTTTATCATTGCCCTGGGAAAATCTCCATGCTCACCGTCACAGCCTGGGTATGCCCCATTCCTCTCACCCTGACAGAAACTGAAAGCTAAATCCAAGTCCTCCTGGCTGCTTCTCTAACTGGAATAACAGGGAACCTGTGCTTCCCAGCAGGTCCAACACAGCCAGTGAGACAGGCAGAAGAGGGACATCTGTCTTTTTCCTCCCTCTCCATGTAAATTTTCAGAGCACTGTTTTTTTCTCTATGTTCTCCTTTCACTGTAAGACAGTTCTCCTGTCTTATGGTCAGACAGGCACACTTCTTGAGCAGCTGTTAAGCTGTGCAGGCACCAGAGGGATAAAATGGAGGAGGAATTAAGGAGAAGCTGAACAGGCAAAAAAAAAAAAAAAAAAAAAA